ATTATTTTTAAATTTGAGTTAAAGGTGAAAATTTTTAATAATTAAATTGATAAGTGTTAATAAATGTATTGAAATTAAATGTGCACTAATTAATTATTTTTCAAATTAAGAATATTAATTTTATCCTTTTTTATTATAATATTAAAATGTCAAAATATAAAAATAACCCTAGAAAATCTAAGTAAGGTGGAAGATTACAACTTTCCCCCAACCAAAACGCACCCATTGAGTAAAACGCAAGTTTTATGGTGTGAGCGCAAGTTTGGTGGTCAATTACATCTGCATTCCACTGTCGTAAAACGCACAAAAGTATGGGATGTTTTGTTGTTCTCCGTGAGCGCACTAACGAGGACCATTCATGTGAAAAGCGATGCAGTCAAGGTAAGGTAGACCATGAGATTATGCAAGGTGCAATTTTGCTCAAACAAGCAGTGTGGAGTGCGGACATTGGATGATCTACCTTTTCTCCTCAACATGCATGTACAAGAGCTAGGGATTAACTTTTTATTGACTAGTTTGATCATTGATTTTTATTGTGAATTTGAGACATTAATGGGTTGATAAGATGTATTTTTTTAATACATTTAATAATAAATTATGTAATAAATGATAACTTTTTTTTATTTCTTAAATTTCTTCTCATTTATTTTAAAATTTGAATTTTTAAACCCGATGAAATTGAAGTTTTTAATTATTTGTAGTTGAATGAAATTATTAAGATCAACTTTCACGGATTATCTAGCCGCCTTTCTGAATAAATTACCTGCCATTTTTGTTTTGTGTGGTCTAGTAGTGGTTGAGCGGAATATTAGGTGCGCTGATCTTATGTTATCAGTAGTGGAAAACAAATTGGATGATCGAGGAGCCTACTACCGGCCCAATTAGAAGTAGGCACAGCTGCACATGTTGGCTTCACTTACAATCAAAATTAAATTATTGATTAATTAAAATTTTAATTATTAAACTTTAGAATTTTTTATTTATTAAAGTGTTTTTAGGTGGCACCAAGCCTTTTGACTCAAGTGGCAATGACCACTCACGGTGCACTTTTCCCCTCCCCTGGGCTGGGTTCGACCCAATCCCTTGTAAAACCTGTTCAAAAAAAAAAAAAGGTGTTTTTAGGTGCATGTTCAAAAAAAAGAAAGTGTTTTTAGGTTAATTTTTGAGATTAATTTTTTTTGGGTAATTTTAAAGATGCATCTTTTATACTGACTTAATACATTTAAAAAAATTAAAATTTTTAAATGTTAATATCAAAACTTAAACTCTAAATCTGATTTAGTAGTTAACATTTACTTATAACCAATGGATTCAACCTTTAGGGATATTTTAGAAATTACCAAAAAAATTAGGTTTTGTTGATTTTGGATAATTTTTAGAAAATAATCATATCAATATTTAGTTTCAGTTTTAATTGAAAAATTATTTTATATTTTTTAATTTCTTAATTGCTATTTTATTAATTTTAATCATTAGAAAAAATAAAAATTACTAAAGTAAATAAATAATTTGGTGGAAAGTAATGGAAGAACCTAAAAAATCTAAAAATAATTAAAAATTTTTTGAGCTGGTTTTTCTAGTTATATTTGCCCTAATTACTGACTTTTCGATCAATTTTTAAATCTAGCAACCAAAAATTAAATTATTTTAGATCTATTCGATTCATATTTTAGTTAAAAAAAGTTAAAGAATTCAAAACTTGATCAAACTTAGTCTGTTGATTATTGTTTCCGCTGGTTTGAGATTTTTTTTTTTTTCCAATTATGGATTTTTAATTCCACCCAACCTTTTAAGCTCAATTGGCTGAAATGTTTAATGGCTAAAAAAGTTCTCCTTATATGGTGTGGATTCAAACTTCCATTCCTTCGTCCTCCCTTTTGCCACTCGGGTTTGAGCCACCCCACATTAAAAAAGAGATTAAATAAATAAAAAAAATTTGATGATTATCAATTTTTTTAATTTTAAATTACATAATAAAAAAATAAAGCTCTCTCTTTAATCTCTCTTACGTTAATACTGACTCAATTCACTAAAAATCTCTTACTTTTAGAAATAAATTACTACTAAAATATAGTCAGGCGTGGAACGGGAGTCGGGTACTATGTTATTGTTACATATGTGTGTGGCTGTAGAGCTGAAATGTTAGGTGTCATATATATATATATATATATATATATATATCCTAGTTGCCAGTTATGCACGTGCAGAGAAAGAATATATTGGTTGGTTAGAGCTTTACTTTATTGCATATCACATTTAATTTGTTAATTTGAGCTGTACTTCATCTATTTTCACGTTTCAGAATCCATTTTGTTTATTATCATTACGATCTGGGTGAGTAGAGATTATTTTAGTCTAGAGTTAGAACATAGCACCAGTTTCAGTTGAGAGTTAGCATAATTAGTATAGAGTTATAGTGGAATGTCCAAACTGTACGTCCATCTACGAACTAATTCAAATCTAAGAACTGTGGGGGGGTAAAAGCTCCAGTGAAGATGGCTGCATTTGCGTGGAAAGTCTTCCAAGATAGGATTCCAACGAAGTTAAACTTGCTGAAGAGAGGTGTTTTAGAAGCATTAATTGCAAGATATACCAGCTGGTGCATTTTTGTGGTGTCTATGATGAAAACACGGATCATATCTATTATTTGCTTGTGGAATATATCTTGGAAGATATGGACGGCAGTGGACCATATATATATTAATGGTAGGTTTTACTACCATCCATCATCAGGGAGGATGGGATCATTTAAATCAACATATATAATGGCATGTTGATCCGAGGAATGCTGCAGGAGGCGTGGAGGTTAACATGGATTTTTGTGGTTTGGTCTCTGCTCTGGTGCAACCACAAATATATTCCAAGGAAGGTGTCGATACTTAGTCTAATTAAGGCGTTACAATTAATAAAAAAAATTTTTTATTCCTATTTAGTGATATTTTTTGCCTACCAAAAGAAAAAAAATGTTTGAAACGTATCAACTGATAGTAGTACGACTAAATGACTGATTCTGAAGTAGAAAATGAAGCTTTGATAGTATATAAATTAAATTAATTAACATCAATTAGGCTCACTGGCCAGTCCATGTTATTTTTAATGATATATATATATTTCCTTCTTATATAACAGATAATGATTTATACAATAAAAAATAATTTATCTTTTTTCATTTATCTCAAAATCTAAACTTAAAATTTTGTAATATAGAAATTCAAATTCTTAACAAGTAAGATGTCTAATAAAGATGTCTTATAAGGTATATATATATATGTGTATGTATGTGATAAAGCATGATGTAAGTTTAATAAAGTTGTTAATTATATATATATATATATATAATGTTTAGAAATCTTGAGTTTTGATTAGATAGTTTAAAGAACAGAGTTAAACGCTTAAGCATATGCAATATAAATTAGAAAAGAAAATAAAAAATAATTGACCATAACATTAACTTCTAACTCTACTCTGTCATGTTAATAATTATCTCTTTACATAATTAAAATTTGTGATATTATATTTTATGTATTTATTTACTTAAAATAATATATAAATATTAAAAATAAAAAAGATTGTGATATCTTGTTGTCGTTAGCCACGTGATATCTCTTAAGCTCAATGTGTATTGGTTGTTTTTTTTTTTTGTATTAATATTTCAATATTTGGTAACCACATTATATCTTGATTAATCTAGAATCGAACCGCGTCAGATTTTATTAGGGAAAAACTTTTGCAACGTCTGTTTCTCTATTCACAAAACTCAAATTTAAAATATTATTTAAAGAAAACTGAATTATTTCCACTCAAATCAATAAGTGATGGTACGGATATGGATTGTTGCTGGGTATATATTCTGTGTTAAGACCATGACAAATCACAAAACATGAAATCCAAATTACCACATTACATGTCGGCCGAAATGAAACAGCCACATGATACGTCGTTTGATATTTCAGGAAGTGGACCACTCATAAGCAATTTGCCTTATAAATAATGGCACCCTATTTCCCTAACTATATACTGCATAGCTCCCTCTACTTATATATTTGGAGGGTTTTTAATAAAAGGTTCTTTTTTTATATATATAATCCAGCACAAAAAATAAAAAGTGAGAAAATTCAGTGACAATATAATTCATATTTATATATAGTTAACGTTTATGAAAAAAGAGAAAGAAATTGAATTTCTTCGGGATTTTTTCTTGTTATAATTTCCTTAATATTAATAATATATCTAAATAATAAATTTAAAAAATCCATATAAATGAATTTTCATTGCTGAGTGGTGTCATAATACTTCAGGCTATCTGTGTTTTTTTTGTAGGGAATGATTTTTTTTTTTTTTTTAGGCCGACAGAATGGGATATTGTTAGTGTCTACAGAAGGGCTTGTTTTTGTTGGGAGGAAAAGCTTGTTACTCATTTGTAATTTTCAAAGGTTAAAATTAACCATTTTACTCTGTTAATAAATTTAATAATATTTTCTTTCTTTAAATGTGACAAACAAAAGAAAAAGGGGAGTTTGGGAGGTGGATACGACACCCCAATTGCTTTGTTGATGTCATTAAAATTTTATTGATATTTATAATTTTTTAAATAATTAATTTTCATGTTTGAAAATATTAATTTATAAATTAATTTTAATTTATTAAATAATAAATATAAATTATTTTATTAATTATTAATTATTTTTAATAATTAAATTTGATAAAATTAATATTTTTTAAATATAATTTAATAACCTTAGCAAAACAATAAGGGACTATAATTGCCCTAATTGTAAAGTATTTGTCTCATATTGTATCTATGTACGAGAATTAAGTGATATATATATATATATGAGATTTCATATAATTTTAAAATTTTTTAAAGTTACGATGTATCTTATCTTTTATATTATTTTATTACTGTTTAAAAAAATTAACCCCTAATTAGGGTTCCCTCCCTGCTTGTGGGGGTGTTTGTTCCATATTGTTTGTGTGTATATGTATTAAGCGGTACATATAAGGTTTTACAACAAGTCTAAACTTTTTTAAATTGTGATGTGTCATATTTTTATACTATTTTAATAATAATAATAATAGTAATAATAATAAAAGGTGATTACAACCGGACCCTTTAGCAGTGTTCCGACCATGAACAGAGTGATAAGCCACTCTGTCATCAACAACTACTTTAAGGGGTGGGAGCTTTTTACACTCAGCAAGAGTTGCAGTGGCATAAACCATCAACAGCCAAAATCTTAATGGGCTACAGGCCCACAGATAATTTAATGGGCTAACAGCTAAAAGAGCAAAAAGCCCAAAACAAAACAAAACAAAAAGATTTGCGCTTCAGTTCGATCCATTAGTCAACCCATAAGCCCAGCCCAAGTACAAAGGTAGAAGAGGCCCATCTTCAAACAGGTAACCCTTTTCACTTCGCGCGTTCCGTGTTAGCGAGCCCACCTCGCTGATGGAACATCCTCTAACAATATACCCGACAGCACTGAAAACTTCTCGTTAAATCTTAATTAATATATAAATAATTTTAATTAATTAATTATTATTTATACTTTTAATAAAAATTAATTATACAAAGTGCAGTAAGAAAAAACCATTTATTATTATTAATCCATCACCAGAATTTCCATTTTCCTTCTTGAAGCAAAGAGTGAGATTATTCTCCGCAGCTCTAATCTAACAAATTCTCAATCACAGTTGCCTCACCCTGCACTCTTCAGCGCCTCCTGCGGGACATCCACACGCATTTCACTGCGGCGACTGCCTGGCGACGCTGTCGGTGGAGAAAAGTGATCGGATTTCTTGTTTCTGTTCTTGTTCTTTAGATGGAAAGTGAGATAGTGATTACTGTAAAGACATAGAGATAAATCGGGAAAGATGCGTCGAGAGATCTCACTTTTGATGCAGCCGCGCTGCCTCCTCCTCCTCATCGTCCTTTCCATTTTCCTCATCCTCGCAATCTCCGGCTCGAAGCGGGTACTCTTCTTCTTCCTGTTCTTCCTTTATTTCCCCGAAGTATACCATTTGCATGTTGTATGCTTAACCATGGATCTGAATTCGTTTTTCAATTTTTTTCGACTCGATTTCTGTGCAAGTTCTATCTCGAATTGGTAGGCTTTCTTTTACATTGAAGTTTTTATAATCTCTCTTGGATTTTCTAGATGGAAATCTCTTCGATTTATGTTTTCCATATTCATGTGGTGATAATTTGAGTGAAACTATAATAATCAAGTCAGGATTCTAGCGTAATTAGTTTCTCAAAACCAATGGTTGGCAACAGTTAATTTTCTGGGGATCTTGTTGCATCCGTAGTTGATTTCTATGACGGGCAACTCTTTTGAAATTTTTGGTTTGAGTAACAATGGAGTTTGGAAGATGGAGAAGAAGAGGTTTACCTGATTGTGGAGTTTGAGTCCAACACTTATATGCCAAATTTGGATCATAAAGTTGGCTTGAGATGAGGCAACAGTTGTAGTTACTTATGCTTGGTGGAAAAAATTTTCTTGGAGTTGTGAAGGCAAGGCTACATAGGTTTTGCCTTGGTTATATAGATGTTTAGTTTTATACTTGTTTTGGTAGCAACTATACTGGAAATGTGTTGATACATCAAAATGGTTGGAATTTTTTTTTTCTGAATGTATTAATCTTCATTCCAGGTAGGTGATGAATTGATTATGGATATTTTCTTTTTCAAGAAGATGCTACAAATTGTTTTTCTTTGTAAATTGATGTTTAGGTGGAAGAGAAGATTGAAGAAGAGGAGCATGAAATCACCCACAGAGTGTACTTGGATATTGATATTGACGGCCAACGTTTAGGTACAGTTTTCTTTTCTCCTCTTGTTTCTAAGCAGAAACTCAATTTCTGTCCCTTTTAACCTTGTGCTGAATTTAAATTTCTTCAGGTAGAATTGTTATTGGATTGTATGGCCAAGTTGTCCCGAAAACTGTTGGTATGACTTTGATCTTCTGTGAGTACTTTAATTTCATTAAAGTAGCTGCTTGGTTTCTCTAATCAGATGATAATTATGCCTGTGCTATTATTAACCTTATTTTTCTCTGTGTCACTTTTTCTCTTTTTTTTTTCTCTTTTTTCAAATTTTCTGAACTGTGCCTACTAAATTGATGTTTGAAAGTCTAGGTGATGCAAAAAAGTAACTTCTGATGTTTTTGTTTCTTATCTGCCTAATGCTTTAATTTGTTGTTTGCAGAAAATTTCAGGGCTTTGTGTACTGGTACTTCATTTTTTCTTATTTATTTTGCACCTGTAGAACTTCAATTTCTATCAATAGAGACAGTTTTCAGTGTAGATGTGCTTACTTTGATTTGCTTTCCCAACTGCAGGAGAGAAAGGTAAAGGGGCAAGTGGGAAAGCCCTTCACTATAAGGGGACACCATTTCATCGTATCATATCTGGCTTTGTAGTTCAAGGTGGAGACATAGCTCATGGTGATGGGAAGGGAAGTGAATCTATTTACAGTGGCACTTTCCCTGATGAGAATTTTAAGATTAAACATTCACATGCAGGTGCTCCACTGTGTAGTACTTTATTTTACTGTTCTATTTCAACAAGATTACTGTCCATGGACATTAACATTTACATGCTTAGAGCTTTAGGATTTTCATGTGTGTCCACTGTGTGTGTTTTTGGCCATAAGTGTATGTTTTTAGAATGCCTTTTCTCTGCAAATATTCACCCCAATCCCCCATTTTTGCAGGTGTTGTTTCCATGGGTAATTCTGGACCTAATGCAAATGGCTCCCAGTTTTTTATCACCACTGTCAAGGCTAGCTGGTAAGGATACTGTATTGGTATTTTGGAATATACACTGCATTGACAATTGGACTAGGAATCTACATATAAAATTTGTTTACTGCAATAAGCTATGCAGCCTACCACTAAGAGATTTAATTTAAGCTCTTGGATCTAGCATGTTTAGTCTCAATCTTTATAATTATTCCAAAAATGGCACCTACTTGAAAGATAATGTAGAGATCTATCAATATTGGTTTTAGCCATTCTGATGATTTAGGCCACCTATAAGAAAATTCAATATCGTCTCTCTCTGATTTGTGGCAATAGATGGGAATACTGATGTCTTAGTTCTTTTTATATTGCCATTCTCTTGTCAACATTAGTTGTTAGTAAAATGGAAGAAAAATCATAAATCGCATATTGACTTCTCAGGTTAGATGGAGAACATGTTGTTTTTGGCAAGGTAATTCAAGGAATGGACACCGTCTATGCGATTGAAGGTGGAGCTGGGACCTATAGTGGGAAACCCAGAAAGAAGGTAATCATTGCTGATTCTGGCGAGATACCCAAGAGCAAGTGGGATGAGGAAAGATAAAGCTCCTAGTTAGTATCGGCACCAGGAGGTTTGTATTTTCGAGCTATGCTGATGATGAGTTTCCTGCAAATTGATTTGCATTTTCTTCCCTGTATCGTCTCTTCGAAACACATCACTGAGCTAGATCCAACAGTCTTTGTTGGCTCTACTAGGAAATATTATAATAGTCCTTTCCCTTTTCCTAACCTTCTCCAGTTATTGTATCTAGTAACAACTGTCAAACACAAGAATGTTCATCCTTCATCAATCAGAAAGAACGCTTGTACTTGCATTGTTTTGTATTTGCATTAGAACAATACCATTAGTAGGAAGACAACATTATTTTTAACATCAAATTTTTGTGAAATTGGAACTTTTTCAAGGGCAGCCTCTTAATGTTATGAGGTGTTTGGATTAATTGTTTAAATATAGCAAATAGCTTAATCATTTATTCAAAATATCTAGTGGCTAATTGTTACTATTGTTTATAATTTGAGTACTCATATTTGTTTCAGACTTTCACTTCAAATTCTAATACCTGAAAGTAGACTTTTTAATTTTTTTTTTTCTTTTTAAAAAAGGGGCTTTTCTCGCTATTCAAAAATTTTTTCCTCTAAGAAATGGAATCAACAAAGGAAAAAAACACAGTCGAACGTTTATCGTGCTGACGCGCCGACAACTATTTCACCGCCTCCATTGCCAGCACAGCAGTGCCCAAAGGCTAGCCATAAAAAAATATATTTGTTTTTAAAAAGAGAGAGGAAAAACTCATCTTCTTGTTCTCCTCCGCTCTAAAATTCATTCTTTCAATGAACTTCTCCAATCCTCTCCATTGACGCTTTGACACCACTTAAAAGTCAAAGGATCCAACCCCAACAATGCTCTAATCTCTCCCTCTTTCATCCAGATTTCTTCTCTCCCGATTCCCTCTAATGGGCAGCACTGAAGAAGACCCCAACAAACTCAATTCCCTCCACGATCCCTCTTCCCCAACACAGCCCCTCCTTTCCAAGCCCACCACCAGCACCTCCTACCCTTCTTCCCCAATTGAAGAACCCACTTCAATCCTCCCCCCAGATCCCGACCCCACTCAGTTCCTTCAGATCTCCTACAATTATGATCCCAGACCCTTCAAGGACCTTCCTTTCCTCATCCTCTTTGCTCTCTTGGTTCTCTGCACTTTTGGGTTCGGTATTTTCTCTATCTTCAATCGAAACACCAAGTACGATGACGTCTCCAGTTATACCTATGATTCTAGTACGAGTACTTGTGTTGAAAGCTCGAGTCTTTCCTTATCGAATTCTAATCGGGTTTTTGGGTTTGTGATGTTTTCTTCATCAAGTTCGAGTTTTTGGAAGGTTTTGATATGGACCCTTGTGATAACTTTGATTTTAACGGTGCCCATTTGTTTTCTTTTGCTTTGGTTGCTGAAACGCTACACCAAACAGATTGTGTACGTTTCTCTTCCGTTCATTGTTATCATGCCCATTTTCTTAGACGTGTATTGGTTCGTTGCATGCACTGTCAGCTCTTCTTGCAGCGATGCCTTCCCTCTCGTTTACAGGATTCTTGTGCTGGTGTTTGTGTTGTTAGTTGTTGGGGTGATTGTGTGGATTTTGGTTGCCAATTGGCATCGAATTGAATTGACCGTGCAGATTATTGGGGTTGCGTCAGATGCGCTTTCGAGGAATTTGGGACTATTTTTGGTGCTACCCTTGTTGACAATTGGCTTGGTCGTATATTATGCGCCAATTGTGGTATTCTTGGTTTTTGCGAGGTTGAATGGAAAAATTGTGGCTAGAGAATCGAAAGGAGAGTACACTTGTGTCTGGAAACAAGATAATTGGGTGCCAGCATATTATACCTTAGCAATTTTGACAATGTTGTGGTCTTTAACTGCAATGGTAGAAGCACAGGTTTATGTGATCAGTGGAACTATTGCACAGTGGTATTTCTCCAAGGATGATTCTGTTCCTAAGCGGAGCATAAGAAGTTCATTGAGGTATTTATTAGATGATCTTGAGCTTGTATGGTGCTTTCTTTTTATCTCTACTTTTGATTGCTTTGTAAGCATGCTTAGAGTATTAACCTTAGATAGACTAGATGGTTCTTGAATATTATAATTTTAGAGCACAGGATCTAAGTTAATATATAGATTTGGATTCATGTTTTGCTGCACACATATATTTGCACTTACTTCTATCATTTTTATAATTTTATGAGCCTTTAGTTAATTTTACAATCTGCACCCGTTGCCTCTAGGTGGAACCCCCCAAGTGGGACATTGCCTAGGGATGAACCCATAACCAGAGCAAGTTTTGCTTGTAGACTGGAACTTTCTATATCTCTGATTTTGATGACCTGCTATTGGTTGATAGGCAGATTTTAAGGCTTTCTATTGGCTCTTAGAGGGGAGATCCATCAATCATCGTAGTGAGTCCATGTGGCCGCAAAGATAAGGGCTTGCCTGCCATTTATCCACCTATAAATGGATATTTCTTTGTTTCTTTGTCAATATGATTTATGCGGCACTCTGCCTATTTATCTAACCAGCTAAGTCAGTTTGTCTGGGTGATTCATTTTTTGGTCTTTTCATCAGTCTTTATATGGTGAAAAGTTGAGGGATTAGAGTGATTATATGGTGGCTCCTATTCATATATTCTGCTACCAGAGGCTAGTGCTGCTAAGAATATATAACCCCAGAATTTGAGCAAGGAAAGGACCAGTTGTGTGCTATTGAGCCTTTGGTTATTATGGTTGCTAAATGCTGAATGCTATTTCATCATTCTCTGTTCTGGGTTAACATGCAGTATGCACAGTCCTGAATATGAACTCCTGATGTTTCAAATGATCAGTTGTGTAGTCAAAGAGAGGGCATTTGTTTCTTGAATATGATTTATGATCTTCTAACTTCTATCTAGTCCGAGCTGACTTGTGAACCTACAGTTTTCATAGTTTTCAACATTTGCTTTTCTTTTCTTTTTTTTCTTTTTAATTTAAGCTTAATTCTCAAGTGTGCAACTTTTTGTTTGCTTTATTATAGTAGCTGTTGCTTTAAGTTCTTATTTGAACTTCTACCTCTCCATGTATCCTTCACATTCTCTTTTCTCATTTCTACCTTTCATTGCTGCTGGCATCTGAACACATGGTCCATGTGTGTTGATTTCTGCTTCTTATTTTAATAGAGTTAGCAATTTCCCATTTCCCAATTTTTGAATTCCATGAAAGATAATGTTGCCTCATAGTTTTTCGGTGCACAGTATCATACAAAATATATGAGATTAGTGAAATTTTATAACATCAGATTCATGATCAACTTGTAAATTAGAACAAAAATTTGAATGACTGTGACATGTTTATCTTGTTCTAAACACTTGCAGAAATGCCTTTGGTCCCTCCTCTGGTACAGTCTGTCTATCAGGGCTGCTTATTTTTGTTGTTCGAGTGGTGCGCGCTGCTGTTGACAGTGCTAGACAAGATGCTCCTGGAATAGTGAACCTCGTACTACGGTGCTGTGTTAATGCATTTCTGTCAGCAATAGATTTTCTTAACAAGTTCACCATCAACTTTGCAGCAATAACTGGTGAAGTTTATTGCACATCTGCAAGGATGACGTATGAGCTTTTGAGGCGTAACCTTCTCTCTGCTGTTTTTGTGGAGACTGTATCAACTCGGTTGTTAGGTGGAATTGTTTTTGTTCTCTCAGCAATATATGCAATTGTGGTGAGTAGTCTTTCTGAATTTCTGCTTGTTTTTTACATTTCATCTATTGGTCTTCATGATGAATTTGTCATGATTTTATAATGCTCAGAAGCTATATGCATGTTTCTCATGTCATATTGTTACATAGTAGGATACCCTCAGATCCCATTCAATTGAATGATACAGAGAAATACTGATAACCATATCAAGTATCAACCATTTATAGCAGTCAAGATCCCAACATTCATAGTGTTGGTCTTGCTATTGTATTTGATTATCTTCCTGAGGTTTTGTTTTCCTCATCTGCTTCCATTAAAAATGTGATATATTATTCACATGAAAGCATTTGTTTTGTAACACCTAGTGCTGTTGCTCCACCTAGTCCTAAGTTGAGCTACTCGATCCTGAATCCAATACTATCGCTATGAATTCACTAGATCATGCCCCTAACCAAACGATCAGTGATTCATTTTGGCCTCAAAAACTTGTCTTTCCACCTATTACTTAAATATACCTCTACATTCTAGTGAGTTCACATCTTCAATGTGTTTCATGATAATCGTTGTGTACTTGCAGGTCTGGGCTATTGTAAAGGGCGTGAACAGTCTTGGGGTCGACTCATACCTTGTCGCTGTTTTTGCCTGGTTGCTGTTGATTGTGGTGCTGACTTTCTTCATCCATGTATTAGACAATGTCATTGACACTGTTTATATCTGCTATGCCATAGACAGGGATAGAGGGGAAGTCTATAAGCAGGACGTTCACGAAGTTTATGTTCACTTACCTATTAGTAGGAGTCTCAGATCACCCTTCCCCTCAAGTACTCCTGGTGTATAAATAAATTTCCTTGACATTCTAATGTACCTAGTTGTTGTTGGTCCGAGTCCATCATTTGTTAATTGTATGAAGTTGTAAACTCCAACTGGTAGATTGTGCATACCCTTTATTTCATTGTACAATTTTAAGGAGGCTGGAATAAAAAGAGTTGATTTTTAAAGGTAATTCAAGCCTTCTATTTTCTTAACCTCCAACACCGTTTCAGGATTACATTATATAATAAGTCGAACAACTCTTTAGTTTGTTGGGTCGCCTCTCAGGGGACATAGTGATTCAGTTGTAATGTGTTTACCTCTTTTATAAATTAAATATCAAAATATCAGGTTGATAATTTAGGCTCTATTTATTATATAAATATGGTTGTGGTTTTTATAAAATTTATAATT